TACAGGATGAAAATACCTACCAAACACAATGCAGATGAAAAGTACTGGTACTTATGCCTTGTAGTAACAAATTACGTATTTAATAAACAAAAATGTATTACTTAAAACAAAGCATTGTTTCTTGAACAGCTTCACGATTCTACATACTTTGTGCAACTAAAGCCTTTGTTAAATATAATGTGTGCTCGAGCATGAACATCTCTGATGTATGACAAATATCTGCTGAGTGGATTGTTTCATATACTCTTATATTACTGCTACTAGGGCTGTGCAATTAATCGTATTTTAATCGCGATTACGATTATGGCTTGCGACGATTATGAAAACAGCATAATTGACAAAATACGATTATTTTTGCTGGGTGCGCTTTCGCCCCTCCCTAAAAGCCCACTCGGCCACGTGGGAGTGACATGTGTTGTGAGGGTTCAGCGCGAGCGAAGATGTCAGAACAAGAGCAGCAACTCGTTAAAAAGAAGGGTCAAACTATTTCCACTATTTGCAAGTACTTTGGCTTTCAGGAGTCCGACGTGGAGCAAAACAAAGTACAGTGCAGGATTTGTTACCAGGTTGTGTTGGCACCACACGCTAACACAACCAATATCTTTAATCATCTGAAATACAACCACAAAGTGCAATACGACCGGGCAGTAATACAACAAAAAGCAGATGCCCGCTCGACTTCATCCACCACATCATCACAGTCATCGATTCAGGACGCATTGTACAGAGCAACGGCCTACGCGACGAGCTCGCAGAGACACAGAGATATTACAGGTGCCATTACATTTCACATCGCTAAAGATATGTGCCCAGTTAGCACTGTTAGCAACCAGGGCTTTAAGCAACTTGTCAACACGTTGGACAAGCGTTACGCGATGCCGTCTCGGTATTATTTCAGCAGGTCTGCGCTGCCTGCACTATATGACAAATGCCGTGGGGAAGTTGAGAGAGATGTGGCTTCAGCTGACTACTTTGCTACCACAACAGACCTATGGTCTAGCCCAGGGGTGCCCAACCAGTCGATCGCGAGATGTGTCTAAAAATAGAACAACAATATTCTGTTTTATGTCCTGTAACATAATCTTCCTGTGCCAGAATAATGCACTTGAATGCATCAAAGCTTTGTGATTGGCCGGCGTCACCCCATGTGTCGGGGCGTGGCTGAGGGTCTTCAGTACAGGTGGCAATATTGTCACCTGCCTGCGCTCATCTCTGAAACTAGACCATGTAAACAGCCTGGTGTTTCTTGCAAAAAATCTTTAAGAGATGACACGAGCAGCCCTACCAGCATTTGCCATGGTGGCCTAAACATTTCTATTTGGTCTTAAATTGTAGTTCAACATTTATTTCCTGTTACTTCTGGACCTTGACGGTTGGCCAGCCTTCAACGTTTAACTGAGTGGAATATGTTGAATATGTTTTACCAAAATGTTGGCTATATGTTAAGGAGTTTTCAGTAGGTTGTGACAGTGCACTGCATCATATTTGATTTAATTTATTTTGGTCTAATTTATTTTTATTTATCATATTAATAATATATGTTTAGTATGGTTTTGGAAGTGCGCTCCAACATATTTGTTGATCTTGTTTATTGGTAAAATATTATTTGTTTTAAAGTTCAATAAATGGTCAATGAATAATCGTAAAAATAATCGTGATATCAATTATTGACCCAAATAATCGTGATTATGATTTTTGCCATAATCGCACAGCCCTAACTGCTACTATACTACAACTGTTCCTCTAAAATTACAGCAAAGTCGTTAAACATTATCATTCCTTCTTACATCATAAAGGAGTCATGTTTAAGTTTTCTGGTAAAGAGAGAATTACTTCACTTTGAATTCAAATGTCTTTATGAATAGAGTGCCACAGTGACGCATCCTAAAACCCGGAAGTAAACTCCTTCCGATTCCTTTGACAAAAAACAATGCAATTTCTCCATAGGATTTTGAATCATAAATCTATCGAATCTATCGAAATTATAAAAGTAGGGTAGACATGTGGATATTATCCGGCTGAACAAAACGTGATCTGTCTCTTCAATTTGTGTCAACCACAGACCTTATTTCGAGCTATTTTCCAAAATCCTATGGAGAAATTGCATTGCTTTTTGTCGAAGGAACCGGAAGTGGTAAAATGCTGACATACTTCCGGGTTTTAGGATGCGTCACTGTGGCACTCTATAAGGGCACAAAATAAATGACTGTTTTCTAAGTTGCAATTGAAGGTTTAAAATAAGCTTGTACTTATAAAGTGTGCGATGTGAAGTCCACAAATATATATGCTGTTCTGTGTGAGGTCATCTTTTACTCTGGTACGCAGAAAGATAACATTTATCCTTTTCTGTCAAACCTGCTCCTCTGAATTCCTTTAATATGACCTCATTCCAACTGCCTTTTATGGATGTGATGTTTTCTACAGTATCACAAAAAGGACATCATCACAGAGTAGACAAACAACACATATTCTAATGTCCTTGTCTGTGTTGTTGAGTATCTACATTCTGGGCCGAAAGCCCGAATGCAACTGCTGTGATGTAATCCTACCCAGTGACTTGTTAAACAAACGTACAGCTTTCAGTGTTTCTCCTCTAAAGCCTGATTTGACTTTGCTGAGACCAAACTGTGCCAGTGTCGGCGACTTTGCTTCTTAGCCATGCGAATAGTAAGTGTACTTTTCATCAGCTCCTAGTGTGAAAAGACAGTGACAACGTCTACTTTGATCCAGCTCATGATGGACATTAGCGCATGTCTGGAACAAATCCACGAAGCCTACACTGCATGTCAGTGATGTAAGATTAGCCCCATATATGGTAAAAACTGTAAATATTAATGTAGAAGTAACATTAGTAATGTTAAGTGTCTAACCATGAGAAAGAATGAGTAAGAGATGAGATAATCATCTGATAAATGTTCATTTCTGAGCAGATTTTAAGTTCCTGTTTCAGTGATTACATGTTCAAGTACCTTCAAGTACATACATGCAGACAAACGTGGAGCTACAGTTTACATTGGGTTAGCTATGAGTGGGGACAAAAAAAAGAGAACAGATCATGGCTACACCCAGGGATGAATGATTACTTCCTCCCCCAAACTAAGTGCTGAGATGTTTGCAGCTGCCACAGTTCAGGCTTCCTTTGCTTCGGACTGCTCTGCCTGGAGGATTGAGCAACAGGGCCCTGAGACCACTTTAAGGAACAAAAAGAAGTGATCTCACAGAGACTTTTCACTAGTGATTTGCTGAAAAGCTTACGTCATCTAGATTCCCTTGCAAACATGTTTTTAACTTGGGAGGCAGGATATTCAAGAGTTGCAGGTTGTTGATACTCAAGACAACACCCTTTAGGTAGTTCTGGGAGAACATGTCATTTCAGTCCATTCTGGGATTTCCTGTCCGGCAGTTGTTATGGTCACACTTTCCCTCACCTTTACTTTGCTGAACACAACCAGTGATTAAGTGTGGGAGTGTTTACCCAATCTGAAACACAGCAGTTGTGTTAGACTCCATTTGTCACAGTTTTAGGACTGGTTTTATACCAGAGAAACACCACCTACATAAGTGAGGTGTTGGTGAAGTAATTAGCAGGCAGCCCTTGTGTGTGCAATCTGTCCAACTTGGCTCATTTGTCACTTTCTGTAAAAGTAGAAACAACTCAATAGAAAAGTAGATGGCAGAATATAAAGCCGTTTTAAAACACTACTTTGAGTCAGTTGACGGCTGCAGAGAGATATTTTAGGAAGTTCAACAGCAGCCAAGCTTTCCACGCTGACAAACGTTGAAAAGCAGAAACAATAATCAAAAGCAGGCAAAGTGTATTGTCTGTGGTAAGGGAAACTGTAAATTTCCACCAGTGCTTTCTACAGCTGATGACAGTGTGTAAGCATTGACATACATGTGACAGAGATTTACAGGTTTACATTCCACCTAAGACAGAGAATGCAAAGCGGCTAAAGTTCACCAAATAAGGCGCTTGCTCTTAAAGAAAGAGACACTGTTTAAACAAGTACTGCAAAGGGTGTGATTAGAAGCTATTGATCCAGACTTTAAACACAATCCACTTCGACTATTACCACGACAACCTCAATTCTTGATCTCATTTCCAGGCAATAGCATGCAGGAATAGCTTAATGACATCTCAGCTCCCATAAAGCAGACTCAGGGTAGCTTACTTTCTTAATAAGCACAATCCTTACTCCACATGAACTATTAAACTACTTCAAGCCAAAAGAGAAGCCAAACTGACTTGAATGTTGGCGACATAGTTGGTCACTTGTTATCTAATAGATAATGTCCTCCTGGGACTGTCATAATTGAGCTGATAAAACAGTTCAGTCTGACTGAGGATAGGTTTTATCAATCACACACACTCTCGCAGTTCATGAAACACCCCAAACCACGTAGATATCCTGCTTTGCAATGAGTCATTTTGTAACTGAACTTTGCATAATATTAAAAAAACACTTTGTAGCCCAACTGTCACAACAAGAATGCTCTTCAGAGAACTTTCAGGAGATGTATTGACGAGGATAATCACATGATGCACTGAGTGCTTTGAAAAGTAAAGCACTCAATGTAACAATATCTCTTTAGCTGAACTCTCACAGCTATTAGCCTCTCTGTATTCAGCTACATTAAAAAGCAATAACAACACATCAATAACTATTTGAGCCTCATCCTGCATTAAAATAGAGATGTGCTGCATTGACAACATGGTCTTTACTATATTTACTCGAGTTAAGTATCAACTTGGCCTGGTTTGATTTGACTTTAACATTATACAATTGTATGTTAAAAGCCTACATTTTCAGTGCAATGTGCCCAACAAAGCCGTTATAACCTGAGGTAAAAATGCAAACGTTTTGCTACCATGGAGTAGTGCAACTTTCTCAGGCTCACTAAAGCTGAGGGAGAAGTTAACCCTTGCTTGTGGGAATACAGGATGTGACAGTTCACTGCACACTTCTTCCATACAACAGCAACGAGCCATGAACACCTACCAGCTTTTTGTTTTTACCCTCGTCCTCGTTGGACTTCTTTTTAGAGGGTTTATTCGGGTCCTCCCCGCCGCTGGCTTGATCCATATTTCGGCTTTCAGTTAGTTCCCCTCCAAAAAGACTTGATGCAACCTCCTCAAAACTTGGCAAACTCCAACAGCAGGCTTTTAACAAGACAGCAAACCATCCAGGTTAGGTCTTTTCAAAAATCCATTCCGTTTAAAAAAGTTTTTTAAAAGTATAATGTTGACCGGTTTCAAAAAGTTCCTGAACAGTATCCAACAGGCGAGGGGGCTGCTTGGAGAAGAAGAGACCTGTGTGGTAGGATATGGTATCCGTCCTGATGTCTCCTCAGCTAGGCAGTAAGTCAGTTCTCACAGCGGTGATGGCTCTATACAGAAGAACACAATATTATGTTAACATTAGATAATTAGTTTATTAATGACTTGGGCGTTAACTTGAACAAATGTTTGCCTCAGCAGCCTTTTTAGTATGCAGTTTGCAGACAGTGAAGCCGGTATACTGTGATCGGTAAAACAGATGTAAACAATATGTAGAGGTAGCTATAGGGAGCTAGGCTAAATTAAAAACCAATGCATTTTTACACTTACAGACAGATCCCTTTGTTTGAAAACAGGTGTTAATTGTTAGAGAAAGCCAACTTAAACCGTGTAACTCAGCAATAACAAAGTAGTAACTGACAAAAAAAGGTTTCAAGGCAGCCCGGATTCTCTGACAGATGTCTACGTTCACTGACAAGGCTGTTATAGAGCTGACAATACAGTCATTAATCAGAATCAAAGAACAATTGTTATAATAGGGGAAATCACCGTTGTTCTCTCTGATTGGGATACTTTACAGTGATGTACACTTTAGCCAGGCAGGCTAAATGGACGACCGTTAACCGCCGAACATAATTAATTGTATCAGAATCAATAATACACAAGCACATGCAGCACTAGGATATAACTTACAGAATGAATAATAACCTAAATGTGAAATAAAACTCACAAAAACCCATCCAGAGCTTACCTTCGCAACCAAGCATGAAAGCCAGGCCCACGGTGATTCCGCCCACCCGCGTTGTGATTGGCCCACGAGATACGTCAGACGTGGGGATTTCAGTTTCTATTGGTCAGATTTGCTGACAGTCATAAGGTCGGCGTGGCGTCCAAGGGGAGGAGCCTGCTGTGACGTAAGGGTCAGTCTGATCTCACAGCAAGCGGATGGGACTCAGTCATTTGTAAGAATAGATCTGTGATTATTATGAAAGGGGGGCCGCGGATAGGACTGCGGGCGTGAATGACACACCCTTCTATGTCTATGTGTCAGATAATAACAGCTTGGGTTATTGTTTTGTTGCAACCCAGTTACATAATAGTGTCCACAATATTGTCCGACTGGGTGTGTTTTGGTATAATCCTTAAGCATATTTAGGCTTAAACGTGTGACTATGTATTGTTTGTATGTATGGGTTTTTAACACGTAAATGTGTGATATGATAGTAGATGGTGGTTGATAACAATCTTTTTATACATTGATAAAAAATATCTTAGTCTCAATGGGTATTCTTTAAATAAAGGTTGAATAAGAAAATCTAAATCATTGTTTGAACGATAATCTATCAATGTGCTTGATAATAAAAACCCTTACATATATTGTGCTGTTGTCAAACAAGTATTCAAACAAACAAAAAATACAAATCTTCTCTCTTGTTGGAAAATGGGCTTGGTTTGTCTACTGCCTATAGATAATGTATCCAGTAACACAGCACAAGTCATTTTGATTAATTTGATTTCATGACACTAAAAGGAAGTTCTCTTTCACCTGATCACAGAGAGATGTGATGACACCCTTAATACCACATATCCAAATCCACAATGATGATTCTGACAATAAAGCATGTTTATTTTATTCATCTTCTTGCCAATGTTTACCTACTACTATTCCACAGTGGCCTAGTAAAAACATATCAAGATCTCACATCCAGTTACTGTCATACATTCACACTTGCAACATTTCCTTCTCTTTCACAAATCTCACTTCCCCAATGAAGAAAACCAAACACTAGAACCAAAGTGATATGTATCTTAATTATGGGAACAAACACAATGGTGATCTAACCACAACATGACCAAAGTGCTGGGAGCTCTCTTCAGTAAACAAGACTGCTGACTCTTGCTCACATGTCATTGTGTGGCATGTGACCACCATGTGCAAGTTTCCAACTGTAACTAATGCACTCTACCCCTATTAAGATCATTTCCCTGAAGAGTTTAAGAATGTTCTGTAAGTAGTTTTTTTTTTTCAGAACAGTAGTTACGCTTTGAGATGGTAACATATTACTGGCATAGTAATATCCTATACAGACTAAGAATGTAATAAAACACTGAAATTGACTTTAAATAGTATACCCACACTTGATGTGGTACTGATTCTGTCTGATCGCCTTCAAGTTAAAATAAATTATAATAATTTCCAGTAAACATTCTCTTTAAAAACATGGGAAACATTTCATTTTCAGTTTTTCAGTTTTCTCTCTATATTATGGATGAGTCCAGCTGCTTGTAAGCAGATTCAAAAATGTAATTAGGTCATTCAGTTTCCCATCTGTTGGACTAATGTCATCCACCATTTGGTTGAGCCTATTGGATCTGTTGCAAGAAACTGCAACAAAGCATTTGTTAGAGTTAAATGCTTAAACCCTTCATTAAATAACACAACTTTGGTTTAAACTTGTAGATGTGTTCATTTCTTACCAGAAGGTGATGAAGTGTGTAATTCCCACCACAAGTAATAACCAGTATTTTAGTCCTAAGAAACATGCACTAAGCAGAACTATTACTATTACTACTAGTTTGTTGCATCCCCACAAAAATTCATGTTTTTCAAATTGATGAATCTAAAATAATCATGACCATAATCCCCAGTATAAAAGTGTTCAATTGAGGTAGAATTGACTTTTCTAAATAGATCAATACAAAATAAAATGACAGAGAAATAGCATATGGCAGCAAAGCAGCCACTGATTCTGTAAGTCATATATAACATATGCAGTGTTAACTATTGTTTATCCAAGTGTATCCAACTGTAACCGATGTTTGATTAAGGTTGGTAATGCTGTTTCTCTTTTCTGGGTAGCTACTATACACTGCAGTCAAAATCCACTGTAGCTCTACTGTATAATTAAATTCATGCAGCTGTTTAGAAATGGGATGTCATTTTCCCAAGGGTCATTGGCCATTCCGACAAGACTCACCATGGCCGTGAAAAAGTAGAAACACAATGACAAAAATAAGGTCTGAATACTTATTTGTCAAAGTATTTTGTTGAATGCATTTCAATTGGTGTCAGTTTCACTACTGCACTAGTTAAACTTTGCCAAGAAACTACAAATCTAATACTATCATAATATGTGAGCTTTTGGTTGAAGATGGTAAGATCCATAACTCCCTGTTGATATTCAACCAAATGTGCACTCTAGTAAAATCAGTATTAATGGGGTTGTTTGACTCCAGCAATTATTTCATAATTTATTTCTGTGAACATTTTTCTATATTTACTTTTCACATCCTATTTAGAGTTTGAGCCAAAAGGTCCCGACTGAACTCCCAGCATGTTTTGCACTTGTTCAGAGCCAATCCTCTCCTTTTACAGTATGGCAAGACTGATATGAGGTCATCATAGGCAGCGACGTCAAAGAGCACCGTGTTCAGAGCCAATCCTCTCCTTTTACAGTATGGCAAGACTGATATGAGGTCATCATAGGCAGCGACGTCAAAGAGCACCGTGTTTAGAACTGAGAGATGAAAGTGAAATGAGTTGTAAATTATTCATTGACCCCCCACTGTACTCAAATGCAGCACCACACTCTTCCCCAGCCTTGCAGAACTCAATAAAAAAGTAGGGAAAACTCTACTTAGTTACTCTATCAAGGCTAGCTAGACATATTGCTTGTATAGATTTGATCTTGTTAGGAACAGTCTCTGCATGTTCTGCTCTACTTTGTTCGCTCTGTATATGAAGGGACTTCGGATGAATATTAGTATATCAATTAGTATTAAATTGAGTGATTTTTTTATCATGTAGTTTTGAAATAATTCCTAGATATTTCAGGTAGAGAGTCCTGGATGCGGAGTTTCCACTTTTCCAATATCACTCTTTTTCTTAACTGTTTATTTATAAATAACTTAAATACAGAAACAGATTACAAGGACAGTACACGCGTACAAGGACTCCAACATTTTAATTTAGCCTCAACTAACAAACTAATTCAAATGTGTTTTCATTGAAAACTGTAGGGAGATAAGTGTATACATTTACCTGTTACCATGGAAGCAAGTTACATGAGTGTGCTTTTGAAAGGGCACCTGAAACATGCTCTTGTGAGATCACTGAGACACAAACACAAAGATGCTTCTGAGAGGACCGTGTCACTGCTCAATGTTATGCAAATAAAGTATAAACTCTGAGCGAACATTTTTATGTAAGCCTAAGTATGAGGTCAAGCACGGAGACCTTGGCCTGACCTCTAACAACTCACTGCTGTTTGCACTTACACTATCTGACTGTGACGATAACAAATCATGGAGATATAAATCAAGGAATTTGGAATAAATGGATGATAAGAAAGTATTTTTTGTTTCGGTTAAAAACGCCATTATGAAAATGAGAAACTTCTTGCTGAACTTAAAATGGGAAATGTTACATTATTACTTTAGCATTTATGAGCGACATATTGTAGGGACAGATGACAGGCTGAAAAAGGGAATTTTCTAAAGTATCATTGCTATCACTCATCAAAAAACAGAAGGATAAGTATTTTTAAAGAGCTTTCATACAGCAGTAAACCCCTACTTGAAAATGTTTCAGTTCTGAAAATGAAACAATATATTATTATCTGACTTTTTTAAAGAAGCATCAATTTAAATTACTGACAAAAGGAACACATTACATGTCACTTGTTAGACGCTTTTATCCAAAGCGACTTACATACTCAATACTGTGGGCAATCCCCACAGGAGCAATTTGGGGTGAAGTGTCTTGCCCAGGGACACAACGACATCCTGACTGCAGTGGGGTTTGAACCTGTGACCCCCTGTTCCCAACACCAAGGCTCCCTCCACTGCACCACACGCCTCCTCATAAAGCCCCGGCAGATGCTCATACCACAACTATTGACACAGTATACTTAAACCTTGGTATGTAAAGCAATAAAACATCATTCTAAACTGCAGCAAAAGACCGGAAATTCATCTGTTTGTGTCTGCGTCAGGATTACTCTAAACCCTCCTGTGAAGTAATGGCAAAAGGATATAGGACATTGAAACATTAAAATTGCCATTACATTAAGTAGAACACCACTTCTTCGTCAAACTTACATGCTTTGTCATGGGTGATGTGTGTGTGCACTGTCCAGAGTATGTGCACACACACCTCATCCCTTTCCCGTTATGCTGGTAGCAATCCAGGCCCTTCAGCATGTTTCAGTTGGCAGTAAAGTCTAACCCAAAAACAAAAAATCATCAGTGCTTTGCTATCAGCTTCTTTGTGTTTTTGAAGGTTACTTTATGACTTGCTCAAGGTATATTCATTTCCCAGATGTTAAACACATGTCCTAATATCAAGTTTTAATTTATGCATAGCCTGTTGCTCACAGATGTGTCAGGTGTTGATTTTTTTGTCCATTCCTGACATTAGTAAGGACACCTACTACCAGAACAGAATATCCTACTGTGAAATTCAA